GGCGGTCTGGTAGGCGTGGTTTGCCTTTGGTCTGGTTGGTTGCCAGGCCCTGCCTTGTGCAGAGACTGCCGACCACTGGTGGGTGGAGCTGGATAATGAGGCTTCTGGCCGCAGAGCCCTGGGTGGTCCCAGGGCTAGTGTTGGCCCACTGGTGGGTGGAGCTAGGTTCTCACGTGGGTGGTTGTGGGGCTGGGGTTCCAGATCTATTGTCTGCCTGCTGGTGTGTGGGGACTGTTCCTGACATGGCTGGCTGCAGGGTCTGAAGTGTTGCAAAGTTGGTGCTGGCCTGCTTGTGTTTGGGGCTGGATCCAAGGTTTCTCAGGGCTGGTGTCAGCCTGCTGTTAGGTGGGACTGTATCCCTGTCTGGCTGGCTGCTTGGCTTGAAGCATCCCAGTACTGGTGCTGAGAGGGTGTTGGGCAGGGTCAGGTCCCTGCTAATAAGCTAGAGGGAGGATTCAAAATGTCACTTGCCAGCACCAATGTCTTCATGGTAGAACGAGCTCCCCTAAATTGCTTCTGCCATTGTCTGTGTCCCTAGGGTGAGCTCCAGTTGCCACCTACACCTCTAGGAGTCTCTCCAACATTAACAGTAGGTTCTGACCTGGGCTCCTTTCAAATTACTGTTTCTGCCTTGGGTCCTGGAATGTGTGAGATTTTGTGTGCATCCTTTAAGAGTGGATGTTTCTCTATTTCCCTCAGCTCTCTGGTTCTCTGAAAGTAAGCCCCACTGGCCTTCAAAGCCAAACATTCTGGATGCTTGTATTTCTGGTGCAGGACACCTGGGCTGGGGATCCCAATGTGGGGCTCCTTGGCCAGAACTTTTGCAGTTGTAATTATCCTCCTATATATCCAAGTGGGTCCACTTGGGGCTATGGGTCTTGACTGTACTGCATCTCTGCTCCTCCTACTTGTCTCATTATGGCTCCTTCTTTATATCTTTAGTGGTAGATCTTTTCTGCTGGTCTTTTTCATCAATAGTTGCTCTGTAAATAGTTGTAATTTTGGTGTGCCCTTGGGAGGAGGTGAGCTCAGGGCCTTCCTACTCTGGCACCTTGGCCACCCTGACCTCTGCTCTTTTTTTAAAAGTGATGCTTAAAATCATGTGATAACCAATGAAGACTGTACTAAATTTCCTTGAATTTATTGACAAATATTTTTCATTGTAGTAAAATATAGGTAACATTACGTTTACCGTTTCAAGCGTACAGTTTGTTGGCTTTAAGTATACTCCCAGTGTTGTGCAGTCATCACCACCATCTGTCTCCAGAACTTTTTTCATCTTCCCAAATGGAAACTACCCATTAAACAGTAACTCCCCATTCTTCCCTGCCCTTAGCCCCTGGGAACCAACCACCTTCTACTTTCTGTCTATATGCATTTGACTGCTTTAGGTACTTCACATAAATGAGGTCATTCAGTAGTTGTCCTTTTGTGTCTAGATTATTTTCACTTAGCATAATATCTTCAAGATTCATCCATTTTGTAGCATGTGTCAGAATATCCTTTTAAGGCTGAGTAATATTCCATTGTATGTATACACTACATTTTGTTTATCCATTCATCTGTTGATGGACATGTGGTTTCCAACTTTTGGTTATTATGAATAATGCTGCAGTAAACTTGACTGACTGGAATCCTCTTGAAATTTCAGAGTTAATGGTAAAAGACAGCATGCTGGGAATTCCCTCGTGTCCAGTGATTAGGACTCTGCACTTTCACTCCCAGGGCCCAGGTTCAGTGCCTGGTCAGGGAACTAAGATCCCGCAACATCGTGGTGTGGGAAAAAAAAAAAAAGCATGCTATTAAAAATGTCCTTACTTTTCCTTTTGTGGTAAAAATGGTGATATGTGTAAAACAACATGGTGACTAACTAATGATCTCAACAAATACTGTTTGTTGAGTAAAGAAATATATTTTAGGAAAAATTATATACTGAAAATTTGCTATATAGTTTATTATAGTACACATATTTCTAATATCTCAGCTTACAACATTTGCTAGATTCTGTTTTGATAATTATATTTTGAAGTATTGTTTTTGTGAACCACTAAAGGAAAGATGTGTTGAAGATTTATTCTCAAAAAGAAGTGACTTGAACAGTGTTTTATGAAAAAACCATGTAATAACCACTGATAAAGCAGTGCATTAATAATTTCCTTTAAAAAGGAAATTGGGATATGGTTGCAATTTATTCACTTCATCATTTATAGGTAAGCAAAGGAAATTAAAGTGAGAAGTCCACAGAATATTACAGCATATTTTTATTATGGTTAATTTTATAAAAATAATACCTTTGAAATATAGTAGACTTTTTACAGTATTTCCAAATGAAATGGTGAGGGACTATTGAAAAACTTTGTTTCACACAGGTTTGCTGTTCATCTCCTGTTGTGTCTAATTTGTTGATGTTTAATAAGTGGCTGTTAGTAATATGCTTTCCTAGCAGGTACTTTTGAGAAAATCTGGTTTTTCAAGATAAAAGGGAAACTTTAGTAGTGAATGTATAGTTACTTTTCCAAAGAAACTTGAGCTATGGAAAAAGAATTTTGATGATGAATGTTTGGAAATGCATTCATCATTGTAGAATTTTGTTGCTAAAAATGATGTCACCTGCAGCTACTGTATCTGCACACTTAAAACATTAAAAGAAATTTATTGCTTGTTTTAAAGTCAGTGTGAACCAAGGATGTGTGTGTGTGTGTGTGTGTGAGAGAGAGAGAGAGGAATTGATTTATAAGTAATTGGGTCACATGATTTTGGAGGCTTGACAAGTCCAAACTCTGCAAGGTAGGCCCAGGGAAGAGTTGCAGTTCTAGCCCAAAGACAGTCTGTTGGCAGCCTACTGGAAGCATTTTTCTTGAAGGAGGTAGGTCAGTTTTTGTTCTAGTAAGTCCTTTAACTGATTGAATGAGGCCCACCCACATTATGAAGGGTAATGTGCTTTACATATTCCAAATTAAGCAATTTAAATATTATCTCATTCCAAAACACCTTCACAGAAACATCTGATAATATTTGACCAAATATCTGGACAGTGTGGCCCAGCCAAATTGACACATAAAATCATATTACAGTCAGTTTCAGCAGAGTTTAAAACTTCACTGAAATTATTGTTAAAATATAAAGATGCAGTGTTTTCTGATTAAGCCAAATTTTTGCATAAAAAGGAATTGGAAGGTATAGTCAACAGTGGACTTCTTCCATTTAGACCTTTTAATCTTATATCTTTGTGAGGTGTCATTTGTTTCCCCAGCTGTGACAACCACTAAATCTAAATGTTCCAGTTTAGAACCAAGGCTTTCAGATTGCTTTGCCATTAAGTATTAAACCAAGATTTTAGAAGTAATGAAGCATGCTGAATTCATTGCTCTCACTAAAATTGTTAATATTTTAAAAAGTTATGGCCCCAGGGCTTTTGTTTGTTTGTTAAATAAGTTTCAAAAAGCTATTTAAAATAATGTTTATTTCATTTTCATTTCTTTTTAAAATTTCTATTTTTGTGGATTTCATAATAACATAATAGAATAGTATATATATAATTTATAGATAAATATACATATAGGGGTATTTGTTCAGAATTTTTACTGATTAGGGTATATAATAAAAATTTTTGGAGATTTCATCTAGAAGATAAAGGAAGTTTAATATAAAATTTGATGAAGAGGATGATGGGAAGAAGCCTTTGAAGCATTTTGGAAAATGAAGGATGATTGTTTCAGCTTCAGACTATTCTTTTTCTGGAATGTTTTGTTGTTGAGAGTTTTTTAATTTGCAATAGAATTCCGATTTATAATGGGAAATATTACTAATACACCAATTAAGTTTACTGAGCAGTGCATTCTCTTGCTGTTTTCAAATCTACTTTGGTAGCCAAATAATAATGAAAACGATGCATGGAAGAATAGAATTAGAGTAGTAATACCAAACTATGATAGCTAGATGAATTCTATCTCTGCTGTTTAGATAGACTTTACCTTTATGGGTAGAATTTTATAATGATTTAAGGTAGGGAAAGAGATAAAAGGCAAAGATTTTGAGATGATTCATTTGTAAATAACACGTAATTAAACCATGGATGATTTGGAAAGATAAAACAACTAGAGATATAGAAAGGGATGATATCTGAATATTTTGCCAGAATTACAGATTTTTATATGGGAGATGTAGAGAGCACCAAGTTATTAGCCAATATGGAGATTATTCTTGAAGAATAGGAAATGATGGTTTTTCAGGCAACAGGTAGAAGGGAATATCTTTTGAAGGCAAAGAGCCTTTCAGGACAGTGATTTTTATGTGTTAGTATCATGTTTACTGCACTGTATAACACTTTATGACATCAGTATAATCCTACTGAGGTGCGTGATGGGACTCCCATTTTAAGATGGAAAGAGTATAAAGAGCCTTGGTAACTTGCCCAAGGTCAAAACATATGGTAAACATGCAGAGCCCAGAATTTGAACCTAAGTTTATTTGATTCTGTTCAAATTATTCTTCACTGAGAGCCTGCTGTGGTGCCAGGCATAGTGCTTGTGCCTTAGGAGTTCAGAGTAGAATAATACATGGCTCCTGCTCTCAATATAGTATTGCAAGTGAACAGACAGTAATTTATAGGGAACCTTGGGGAGTTAGAGAAAGACCACTTAGCCCAGCCTGAGATTTTTAGGGCCATTTTCTGTAGGACATAGTGCCTCATTTTCTGTAGGACATAGTGCCTGAACTGAATCTCAAAGGAGGAATAAAGAGTTAATTGAAAGGAGATGATCTGTGGAGAGTGTTGCAGCCAGGGGGAACCACATGTGTAAAGATATTCAGGCATAAAAATAGCATGATGTATGCTGAAGAACCTATTTCTGTCTAGGCCTTAAAGGATGGGATTGGTGGGGACCAGCAGAAGAGCCTAAGTTTCTCTTTTCATACCTCATTGCCTGGACAGAAGCTGGTTAAGATATTTGTGGATAAAATTTCAGACTTTTCAGTGTGGTTTTACCTTCCTTTTCTAGGATCAGTTCGACAGCTTAGACAAGCATACACAATGGGGAATTGACTTCTTGGAAAGATACGCCAAATTTGTTAAAGAGAGGATAGAAATTGAACAGAACTATGCAAAACAATTGAGGTAAGTTACATTTTTTTTTCAGTTCTCAGAAATGAAATTACATGTTTAAATAGTTGGATGTTAGATAAATGTGATATACCAGAGGTTAAATTCTGTGTTTGTCATCAGAGTTAGATTGAATTAGGTAACTGGTTTGTTTTAATGACTAATTTAATTAAATCATTGCCTAGTATCAGAAGGAACATTGGCTAGCTAGATCATGAGTAGCTTTCATTCCAGAAAGATACTTAAAGTCATAAAATCAGGAAGCAAAATTCCAGGAAAAAGAAATACCTGGGTATTAATTCTGTGCTTTACAGTTTTATTCCCCTGTAACCTTTTGCTTTAGTAATCTTTGCAAAATGTTGAAGAGTTCTCCAGTTTCTCATTTCTTTAGAGTTTCGAACACTTAGAAAGTGAGTGTGATGAGCTGAGTTTCTGTCAAAAACTAGATATATAGGGACTTCCTGGTGGCGCAGTGCTTAAGAATCCGCCTGCCAGTGCAGGGGACACTGGTTCGATCCCTGGTCCCCTGGTCCGGGAAGATCCCACATGCTGTGGAGCAACTAAGCCCGTGCACCAAAACTACTGAGCCTGTGCTCTAGAGCTCACGAGCCACAACTGCTGATGAGCCTGTGCTCTAGAGCTCGCGAGCCACAACTCCTGATGCCTATGTACCTAGAGCCTGTGCTCTGCAACAGAAGAAGCCACCGCAATGAGAAGCCCGTGAACCACAACGAAGAGTAGCCCCCGCTCTCTGCAACTAGAGAAAATCCACACACAGCAATGAAGACCCAACGCGGCCATAAATAAAGAGATAGATAGATAGATATTATTGATGAAAGTGATTTTGGAATATGTTAGGAGATAAAAGTTTTAAAGGGAAAATTTTAATCTCAAATGGAATTTGTCTTAAGATTTTGTTTAAGCAGAAAATCGTCGTTAGACCACAACTTGACAAGTAGTTTTGCTGCAATGTATTCAATAAAAATGGTGTTTGAAGCTTGAAGACTGGACAACAATATAAGGTTCTAGCTGTAGGGGTTAGGATTCTTTATATTGCATAGTGACAGAAAAATCCAACCCACAAGGCACACATGAGTGAAAAGTCTGTAGACATATTTTGACTAATGGGTCAAATGTGTCTAGGCGCCATTTCTTGGCTCTGCTTCCCCTTGTTGCTTTTATCCTCAGATTTCATTCAGTACCATCCTTTTTACCCCCATAGCTCTAGACTTCGTATCTTCATACCCCCACATCCTGGGGAAGAATGATGGTCTTCTCTTTTGTGCATTTGGGGGAGAAGAGAGGGAAGGAAAGGGGGAAAGAAGAAAGTGAAAGAAGGGAGAGGAAGAAGATGGAAGGAGAGCAGAGTACAAGTGTGTATCAACTTCTTTTCTCCAGAAATCCCAGCAAAAGTCTCCTTTTGTCTTGCTGACCCTGGTTAGATTATATGCTTATCCTGAACAATTCACCAAAATGAGAATATTAGATTGATTTATAGCTAATGGTTGGGGGAGGGATAGGTGCCCAAAAGAAATTTAAGGTAGTGGATCACAGAAGGAAGGGGGATATTTGAGTGATAAACCACATATGTCCACCATTTATAGCAGTTTATGCAAGGAGCTGACTGGGTGTAGGGATGAAATAGACTAGTATGATGAATAGGTTACTTATGTTTATAATGATATACATACTACTATTATGACATCTATTGAAATAGTAGCATCATGCTAATTTCATGATCCATTTGCTTCCTATGTTTTTTTTAAACCAAGGAATTTCTGTATGAAAATATAAACAGGGAACCTAGTATATTAATAATAATTGTGATGATATTTTACCTGTCCAAAAGTTTTGACTTGGGAACTTTACTGTTCAGGAATCTGGAAGCGTTAAGGACCTCTGAAAAGTTAAAATAACAATAAAAAAATGTATTCATGTGTAAACAATGAAAAATTTCCCTCATTTACTTTATAATTTGATCTCAACTCTAGCACATTAAGTTTTCTGGTTTCTAAGTATTCCAATAGAAGTGAAGAAAGAAAATGCTACAGACAGTACAGTGATGTGATGGCAGTGTGAAGTGCCAAATAATAAAGAAAAGATTAAAAGATTGCAAACAACAGATGAAAAAATTGTTTCCAGACTAAAGGTACCTGTCAGTAAGGCAATGATGAAAAATACTGTGGAATATGCAATTTGAAAAAGTCAGGTGTAGCAGCATATTTAAAAGGCTACTCAGTCTGTCAGTGTAAAAAGCAAGTTGCAGAACTGAACGTACAGCAAGACCTCCTTGCTTACTTGAGCTTGAGTATATAGCTATGTGTAAAATTTGTATGTATTCTGAAGAGGTCTAAAAGGGTACACCCCAAATTGTTTTACACTGGTTACCTCTGAGGAATAAGAGTGGGGGGATGAGAAGGGAAGGAACTTACACTTTTTACTTGTATTTTTTAATTATTGAAGTCTTTTCAACAATTGTGTAATCTTAAGCAAAGAAGATGGTATACTTCAAGCGAATCCTATCACAAATTATAGAATAAAAATTGGTAATTTATAAGGTAAACCTTCAGCAATCTGCAATGTTTAATTGTCCAGAATAACTTGGGCCTCAAGAGTTTCAGGATGGCCAAGGTTTTACCGGAGTAACAGGACTGTAATCAAATGGCACACTTGTTTGTCTTTCTGTTTTGTGACTGATAATAACAGTTATAATTTTCACTTAACTTGCAAAAAGAGATTTTAACACCACTTCTTTGAAGCAGGAGTGGCTAGAACCCACAATTTCATGATATGAAAATATAATTTTATAGTGAGAAAGTAGGTTTTGTCATGTACAGATACTCAGGTTAAGTGATGTGCATCTTTTTTCTGTCCCAGCAGACTAAAGAAATTTAGTACACGTTCATCCTAACAGTGGCTCTCACTTGCAGTGATTCTCAGCAAGAGCAGGATTATTGGAAGGTGTTGAGGAATTCCAATAAGGAAAAGCTGGGAGGAGGCTTGTGTAACTTGAAAACCATCTACTCCCTTCCCTTTCTCTACATTGAGATTTGCTGCTTTGGATGAATGCTTAGTAAATGACTGGATTATCAGCTACTCTTTATAGTATCTGTTTTGTCCAAAGGGAAGAAGTGTGCCTTGTTTATTTCTTCTTTAATGGGAAAAATTCTTTTGGTTGACTCCCTCCTGTTTTTGCTACTGCAGAGGACAGTTTCTTTTCATAGTGAGGCAGCTCTTTTGTCTCCTGAATAACAACTATATTCAACTATATTAAACATTTACATTTCAAATATATTGCAGGATTAAATTTTGCAATATATTTTTTGTAAATATATATTTTTTATTTGCATAAATTTAATTTGCAGTATAATTTTGGCACTCCCAGTTTATTCTCTGTCTTCTGTTTTGATGGCTTTGGTTTAACTTTATTTTAGTTTGGTATTGCTTCATTTTTGGTAGTGGTTTGAGGAGAGGAATAAAATAAAAATAAAGCGTCTAATCATGTTTGGAGACATAGTTATAAACAGTTGAGCCCATTGACAGGTGAATGGATAAAGAAGATGTGCGTGTGTGTATGTATATATATATATATATATATATATATATATATATATATATAAAATATATATAATAGAATATTACTCAGCCATAAAAAGGAACGAAATTGGGTCATTTGTAGAGACATGGCTGGATCTAGAGACTCATAGAGTGAAGTAAGTCAGAAAGAGAAAAACAGATATCGTATATCAATGCATATATGTGGAACCTAGAAAAATGGTACAGATGAACCGGTTTGCAGGGCAGAAATAGAGACACAGATGTAGAGAACAAACGTATGGACACCAAGGGGGGAAAGTGGCAGGGGGTGGTGCTGGTGGTGTGTTGAATTGGGAGATTGGGATTGACATGTATACACTAATATGTATAAAATGGATAACTAATAAGAACCTGCTGTATAAAAAACAAAAAACAATTGAACCATGTCCATTATCCATGGATAATAAGTGGGACTAATGGTCCATGTCCATTATCCATTATCCATGGATAATAAGTGGGACTTTGAATCACTTGGTAGAATGTTTTTTGTTTGTGGACATAAAAAACTGAAATCAGTCATTCTTCTAATAAATTTATAATATTGTATTTGTATGACAGAGATTGACTAAATTTTCTTAAGTGAAAAAAAGAAGCTCTATATACATAATAGTATGTATCATTTTTTTCTAGTAAAAATAATTACAGCATTAAATTCTATCATAGAGATTGCTGCATGAAATTATATTCCCCTACTTCCACCCCAGATCATTCCTTTTTGACTCAAACGTGACAGCGTGGTACTGGGAGAGAAATAGATTGGACAATGGGAAGCCTAAAACTTACTCTTACCTTAACCAGAACAGAAATCTCTCCAAATTTCTTGGATCTTATTTTTATTTCTGTACCTTGCCAACCCTGGCAACATAGCTGGTACCTCTAGAGCTGAGTGAATGTAAGTTGAATGCATAAATAATTGAATGACCTGTGTTTCACTTTAGTTTGGAAATTAGGATCTCTAACTATATGGTGAACCTTTGATTGTGTACTGCTTTCTATCCATACTAGAGTTTATGTCATATACATCAATGTGAAGAGATTGCTCTACTAAGAGCTGTCCCAAATATTTCAAATAGGCTTAGATATAGAATAATGCAAATAAAACCAGTTTCTATTTTCTATTTAGTCTTTATTTTCTCATGTCTCTTTATCAGAATTTTCTATTCCTATCTCACTGTTTAGTCTCCGAAGAACCTAGGGAGCTCATCTTTGTACTGACTTGTGGAAAGTAGAGATTACTTTTATTCTTTGGTTGGCCATTGTTTAACTTGTGACTCTTTGGCCTCCCCTGAGTTTTTGATCAAACTGCTTAGTGTAGTAAACCCTAAGACTGGCATCTGGATACAAGCAGGAGCAACTATTCCCTATATTAATTTTCTTCATAGAATGGATCTTGTGGGAACTCTTTCATTCTTGTCAGG